TGGAATAGGTTACCATTCCACATTAAAAAAAAAAAGAAAGAAACTCTGTCATTTTTGGTGAATGCATGAACCTGGAAGACATTATGTTAAATAAAATCAGCCAGGTACAGAAAAACAAATACTGCATGAGCTCAGAAATCTAAAAAAGCCAAACTCATAGAAGCAGAGTCAAAGAGAAGCTACCAGAGCCCGGGAAGATGTATATCACAGCTACAAACTTTCAATTAGATCAAGAGACACCTTGCACAGCATGGTGATTACAGCTAACAAAATGCATTATATACTTGAAAATTACCAAGAGAGTAGATATTAAGTGTTGTTATCACAGATAAATACGTGAAGCAGTACACAGGTTGATTAGCTTGATTTCAGCTGTTCGACAGTGTACACAGATTTCAAAACATTATGTGATACACCATAAATCTGTACAATCAGTGTTTTGTCTTCAAATGTGGGTATTTTCTGGGTATCTTTCTGTCCCTGGTTTCTAATTTAATCCCATATGATCAGCATCCTTTTAAATGTATTGATACTTATTTTATTACACAGAATATGGTCTGTCTTGATAACGCTTCCTGTACACACGGAAAGAAAGTGTACAGCTGCTGCACTGTACAGCAATCTGTATCAAGTGTCAAGTTAAGCTGATAGCGGTGTTGCTCCATCTTTTAGATTCCAACTGACTCTGGGATGGCGTTCCACCAAATACTGTGAGAAGAATGTTGAAATCCTTGACCATCATTGAGTATCTGCCCATTTCTCGTTGAAGTCCTATTAGGTGTGGCTTCATGTACTTGGATGCCTTGTTATTAAAGTCATAACCGTTTAGAATTGTTATAGCTGACTGATGAGTAGACCCCTTCATCATTATGTAATAACCTTCATTATTCCTAATTGTATTCATTGCTACGAAATCTACTTTCTTTCCATTCCTGTTAGCGTACTATATATTTTTCTACCATTTTACTTTAAGTATATTTGTGTTTATGTTTAAAATATATTTCTAGTAAACAGTGTGTATTTGGGTCTTACATTTTATCCACTTTCACAATCTCTTCCCCTTTGGCTGGAATGTTTAGGCTGTTTATGGGCAATGTGATTATTCTATGGTTAGGTGAAATGTACCATTTTGCTGTATTTTTTGTTTGTCTCAACTGCGCCTTGTCCCTCTTTTGCCTTCTTTTGAGTGAATCAAGCATTCATTATTATTCCATTTCTCTACTAGGATAGCTGGCAATAACCTTACTATTCCCAGAAATGACTGAGAACCTCCTAAATGAACTGCAGTGAATCCACACTGAATGTATCCTCTGCACATCTTTCCTTTAGACCCAGCACGAGAGACATGGTCACCCCAGCATCACTAACCCTGAGGAAGTATTAGGGCAGGGAAGTTACAGTGGAAAGAGACAGCGGTCTCGGGTGACTGTGGTTAAAATAGCTGTCCTTTTCAAATTATGCATCATCACATGGTCATAAACCCCTCCAGACTACAAGGACTTTTGGGAATGTCTCCCCTCCCACACTGACCCTGAACTGCTCTGTCTGAACCCAGCTGTGTCTCCAGCAGGCTCTGTGGCCCTGAGTACATAACTTAACTTCTCTGCTCTTGTTTTTTCACTGGTTTGTTTTTGTTTGGGGGAAAGTTTTTTGTTTGTTTGTTTGTTTTTTGTCTTTTTGAGACAGGGTCTCACTATGCAGTCCAGGCTGACCTTGAACTCATTGTGTAGCCCAGGCTGGCCTCCAACTCATAGCAATCCTCCTGCCTCAGCCTCCTGAGTGCTGGGATTATAGGCATGTGCCACTATCCCTAGCTTTTCCCTGGTTTGTAAGAGCCTTTTCTTAAACACAATTGTATTTTAATGCTATTTTAACCTAAGAAATGGATGTATATAGCTTGAAAGCTAAATATTACTTTAAATGGTACAACAAAAAGCAATTGGAAGCTGGGTATAGTGGGATAAACCTGTAATCCCAGCCCTCTAGGAGGCTGAGACGGGGGAATCCAATTCTGAGCTCAACCTAGGGAACAGCAATTTAACGAGACCCCGAATCAAAATAAATAAAAAGGGCTGGTGATGTAGCTGAATATAAAAGCCCTGGGTTCAATCCCCAACACTATAAAAAAAATTTTCATCTGCCTCTTTTCCCCAGCCACCAGTGCTGTTCCCAAGAGATAAGTTGTTTCTTAGCCCTTTTAGTCATTTCTTCTGGTTCTATATCCATTTCTCTAAAAATGTGATTATACAGAAATTCCTTGCTTTATCAGTTTTAAACATTTCAGCATAAGATGTTCTTCTGTGGTAGATAATGAATTAATTCCTACCTTCCCTGTCACCCTTTTCTCCTGTAACATTCCATCAATTTTGTTTCATTTTGTTGTGTTGGGGGAGTATTCCTCTTTTTGAGGCTTTTGCGTTTGTTGTAGCTTTTTGTTTTTGTTTTGTTTTTGGGTTTTTTTGTAGTTTTTTGAGACAAGTTCTCCCTATGTGGTTCAGATTGACCTCGAATTCACAGTGATCCTCCTGCCTCAGCCTTCCAAGTGTTAGAATTATAGGTGTGCACCACAAAGTCTGACTTCCTGTTTTGTTTGGTTTGGTTTTAGTTTCAGTGCTGGTTTTGGGGTGCTGGGGAATTCACAAAGGCTTTGCACATATTAGGCAAGTGCTCTGAGCTTGCTTGCCCACACTCCATCCGTGTTTTAAACTCCTCTCTGGTTCCCTTTGTACTACGAAGTGATACGAAGACACTTTTTCCTGCTGTTCCATCATCTGTAGACATACATACATAACTCCTCACTTCGCAATATGAAAGACGTCAGGGCCCCTGCCTTCCCCTTTAGCTGTCTGCTCCCCTTTTTCTCTTAATTTGGACTTTCAAACTGTCAAGGTTGTTCACAGTAAACCCCATCCTGTCACCGTAACCAGATCTTCAAAGCTGTGACTATAGCTTAGTCCTAACGTGTAGTGGTTACATTATTACCAGCCATAGGACTACGGAGTATTTCAGGGTGGCACTGGCTCCTCCCATTTCAGTCCCTGTCGTACAGACCTCCTCGTCTTTCCTGGAGGTTCTAATTACCTTTTCCTCTCACTGTTTTCCTCAGTGGAGCCTTGCTCATCGGGTCTGGGCTCCTTAGCTCTTCACATGCCCCTCCAGGCCTGGCAACCCCAGCGGGTCCCCGGCCCTGCTCTACCCGCGGCCCGGCTCAGCCTCCTCCTCCTCCTCCCCGGTGTGGTCTGGTGGTTCTCTAGCCTCGGTGGGCACGGTCACCAGTGCAGCCGGCAGGTGCCCTCACTCCACACTCCTGCTTCCTTTGGGATTCCACGGGCCCTGTGCCTTGACTTAACCAAGCTACGCATCTTACACCTAGTCGGAAGCTGTAAGGGCCCGTGTGTGATCTACCTCTTCTCTCCGCTGTGCTCAGGATCAGCCATTCAAGATGCTAACTCAGAGCCAGGGATATAGCTCAGCGGCACAAGTGCCAGCCTGCCAAGGGCAAGTCCTGAGTTTGATCCCCGGTACCAAAAAAAAAAAAAAAAAGATGGTTACTCAGAACCCTGCCCTTGGGGTGGGAGCACAAAACAGCCCACAGAGGACAAGAAAGGAACCTTTTCCACGACACACCACAGAAATCACAAGGGTGTTCATGATCTCTTCGTAACCCAGGCTCTGCCGCCTGGCAGGGACGTTGGTAGCAGCAGTGGGAGCCATTGTCACAACGTCTAAATCGTGTGTCTCCCTCCCTGCTCTCGGGGCTGAGACACCCGACCATCTAAAGGAGGAGAGGTTTACTTGGGCTCACGATTTGTACAGGGCTCAGCCCGGCGTTGCTGGCTCCAACCCAGAAATGGCTTGGCAGAGGGACAGAGCGAAAGAAAACTGTTGATGGGGCAGCCAGGAAACCAAGAGCAAAGGGCAGAGCAGGGAGGGAGAGGAACACTTCCGGGTCACACCCCAGGGACCTGCCTCTGCTAACCGGCACATCGGTCATGAACACACCCATGGATTCATGTACTGAGTAAAGCACCCCTGTTCTGATCACCTTCCAAAAGCCCCTCTCTGAACACACAGGTTTGGGGGGGCCATTCTAGATCTAAGCCACAGCAATGTGGCACTGGCTTAGTGCTTCGGGCAGGAAAGAGCAAAGACATTGTTCCTGAAAGCAGCCGAGACGCACTGGTAAAACTACCTTGTGTGGTAAGTGGGAAGGCCACGTATGCCCCCGAGACACTCGTAGCTAAGAGGGAAACTAGAAGTAGAACAGTAGTGACTGGATGGTGTGGCACACACCTATAATCCCAGCTGCTCAGGAGGATGAGGCAGGAGGATCACAAGCAGGAGGCCAGGGGCTGGGGATTTAGCTCAGCGGCAAAA